GGCAGTGAAGTTGGCCGCCGCCAAGTCGGTTTTAACGAATAATATTGGTACAAAAACGTTGCCGCTTTACGGGGCCCATCAAAAGTAATACCTACTTTTATGGGCGGAAGTTCTGTGGTGCACTCTCGCCAACCTCTACATCTCTCTTCTTTCCCTTCTGCTGCCATCGCAGTGTTTTTCCTCTTTCAACTCAAGTCCTTCTTTTGCTAAGCGCACTTCTATGATACACACATATACTGACTCCTTTTTTTTGCAGCGTATCCATAATACATTTCGGAATGCTTCTCATCGGAGTGTTTCCTTTCGTGCGAGTTTTTGCCGTGCGGGACACTCGCAGCGACGTTTTCTTTTGTTGCCGTTCAGTAGAGCGCGCTCTTTTCAAATCGGAGGCAGCCGGCCAAGGCCACAAAGATCCATAGCGCGCAGAGAGCTCCACTTTTTTTTTCATCCGCGTGCAGTGTTTGGGTTCCAGTCCTTGTCATCGAGAGTACCGCCGCCCTCGTTGAAGGAGTACGACGTCCCCCAGGTTTTCATGGCCGCGCCCGTCTGCCCCTTGGGGCAATTTGTTTGTGAAGTCACATCCGATATGAATACTTTTTTTATGGCCCAGCCGTCGCTTTGTTGGACGCTTGAAAGCGCCATAAATTGGATGAAACGGCGCGGTGCGATGCCGCGGTGCGACGCCGCCCAATCCGGAGACGGATATTCAAAATAAGTATATAGCCGTTCCATGGACTGCATTCCTCGGGGGCCGCGGCATGGCCAGGCGGCAAAGGTGCTGAGCTACTCCGCACGACCCCCCTGGCGCCGACTCTGGATCGCGAGCTCACTGCCGATATCTCCCGCTCCATCCACTCACACGCGCTAGCGTCTATAGCCCCGAGCGGTGCGCGTGATTTCCGCTTTCGAAAAACAAAACGACAAAACAGAATCGTTCGCTGTGTTTTTGGAAGTAATTATTACTTCCCCGAGACTCGCCGCCAACAAATCTGCCCTCCGCCTCGATATTCCGTTTCCCTATGGTGCACGTGTTCTGGATTGCGGTGCACTCTCTGGCTCGGCAACGTTATGCTGTTTGTTTATTCACTTGGCTTGAATGCGGGTACTTTGTAGCCGCAGCGCCTCTCCGCGCGCCTCGGCCGCGGCGCCGCCGGCATTTTAATTTACTCGATTTCCACGTAAATCGGAAAGTTGGGGGCGAAGGGATAGAAAGCCCATTCCGTGCTGAGAGGGGCGGCGGGGAGCGCCGTGCCCGGCCCTGGCTTATGGTGTGTCGGGTCCGGTGTTGTACCTTGTTCCCTCACTTGAACCCTTTAAATCTCTCCCCCACCCCTCGCCGGCCCTCGCGCCTTGCAGGAAACTCTCCCTTTCAACTGGGGAACCGCGTTCTTTCCAAACCATTGCTCCCAGAGCATCGGCCTCGAGGCCGCTCCCCCACCCACCCCACTGCTGGAGGCGCGTCGCGTTCTGTTGCCTGCAGACCATGCTCAACATTTCTTTTTGTAGGTCAGTGGAATCCTTCCGTCATCCACCGTTGGCTGGTTGCGCCTCTATTTACATGGTGGCTATCGGTGCGTCGTGTCCACCCGGTGCTCTGCCGGTGTGTCGTCTCCAACTCCACTCCAACTCCTTGCCAAGAAGTGCCCTGACCCGACCACGGCTGCACCGCCTCCGCCCTGCTTTCCGTATATTTTTCTCGTATAAAACGGTTGACGGGGGCTGTGCTGTGCTGCGCTGCGGCGTCCCTGGGGCCACCGAAGACGGCCTAATAACGTATGGGAATTGTTCACCTCCCTGCCGCCGCGGTGCCGCCGGGGTGCCGCCGCGGTGCTGCTGTCGGGCAAAAAGTGCGGCCGTAGCTTTGGTGGGGAAGCAGAACAAAACTCGAAACAACTTAGTCCCCGCAAAACTTAGAGCAAGGGGCGGTGCGGGGTGGGCAGGTGCGCGGTCGGGCGCGCTGGGGTCGCCAAAGCCGTGAGTTACCACGCCGGCGTAGATTAAAATGCCGCCCGGCCAACTCGAGCGCGCCTCGCGCCAAATCACATCAGTCAGCCGCCCGACCAATGCATCTCTGGGCGGAGACTATTGACAGGCACCGAGGTCCCTCCCCTCAGCACCAGAACCGCAGCACCACCGACACCACTAGCACCATTCGCAGACCCGTCTGACATCTCTGTGTGAGACACAAACAGAATATTGCATAATACACCGAATTTTCTGGAAGCAAAGTTTCATTTGCGTGCTGCTCTGACAAGACTTGGCAGAGGCAGACGAGTTTGAGACTTGGGAAGGTGCCTACTACGGCACCAATATTTTCGTTAGTGTTGAAGGATGCAGGGTTAACATTCTTTGGCTGTTAACTAGTTTGGATAGGCACTGTTGAAACACGAGAAATCGTCAGAAAAGAAACATATCAGGATTTTAATACAATTGGCAACATCCACTCTTTATTTCTTTTCAGGTGACCATAATAGACCAGGAAACTAACGAATTACTTACTGCACTCCATACTGTCCTAGTTTAAAATTAATAAGGTATATTTCAAAAATTTTGATTGAAAGTTATTATAAAACCCAAAATTTGTTGCCAATTTACAGCCATTTCGTGGGGTAGCTCAAAGCCCTGTTGCCGTGGCACGACCGACCGCGCGGATTTCGTATCACAGTCTTAATCCTTGGCTGGGCAGCAGCTGCGTATGTGGCCTTAATAAGGTCACCTGATTTATACATGACGCGCAGAGGGTACGCCTCTTAGTCGGGAAAGGGGGGCGTGTGAGTAATTTATGGACGGCCCCCAGAGGGTCGCAAGCCGTAATGCTTTCCTCTCTGACTTGATGCGTGTTTATGGTTATGCCGCTTCTTATTTGCCGGTAGCACTTTTTTTAATGGCGGCACACACGCCAAGCTGCGGAACGAGAGAGAGAGAGGGGGGGGGGGGAGTGTGTGCCAGACGAAGCCTCTCACGACCCCTGTCGGCCCACCGCTGGCACGACGGGACGGTCACAACGGTCTTCGATCAGTCGACACATCTTGTGTTTTTTGTGTGTTCCTTTTGCCGAAGCACCCCCTAGTCGCTGGCCGTCCCCTGGCCTCGTCCCGGCGCTGTCACAAGACCGCTGACTGGGGCGCGCACGTTTAACTACCGTCCCAGCTGTCTGTTGTCACCCCGCAGCACCCCCACCCCGCCCGACTCACGTGGTGGGACTCAGGTGGACCTGGTGGCCGTCCTGCAGATAAATTGTCGTTTTTTCGCCCACCCCATGCCCCTGCACCGCACACATTTTTTCAACCGTCACAGTTAACTTTATTCACGCTGCGTGGACACGATTTGGCACGTTGTTCTCAGAGGAGCCGGGCGCGTTGTTGAGCCTTGCCACGCCTTGCGGCCGCGGAGGTGACGAGTGGCTCTAAGCGGTCTCAGGGGCTGTTGCGTTTTCTTTTCAGTTTTCCGGCGGCGGTATGAATGTTTTAGAAGGCGCTGCGGGGTGGAAGGCGGAGGGAGGGGGGGGTAGCAGTAGAGGCGCAGCGGTCGGCCGGGAGAGTCGGGGTGTGCCGGGTCCACAACGGGGCAACTTAGAGCATTAGAGGCAACTGGCCGTCTGGTCAAAGCCAGTGGCCGGGGGGACGGGGTGGGGGGAGGAATTACAGAAAGGGGGGAGGGGGAGGGTCGCAGAAGGAGGCGGCAGAAGTGAATAAGGGTGGGGGTGGCCCCTAATGCACCGTACGTGCGGCAGCGCGGCCCGTCCCAGCCAATATACCGCGCGGTCTGCAGCCCGGAAGGCCCGCCACGCCCGCCAACCCGCCAGGCCCCAAGTTGTGCCACCCTCCAGGGAAGGCAAGGCGCAAGCGCACGCCGGAGGGTATCCGTTTCTTATTTTTTCATGTCGTGAATAAGTAAGTCGCGAACCGCGCAGTTTGCGGACTCGTGTGAAGTAGTCGTGTTAGGGATCGGCCGGCCAACCACGCAAACGACGCGTCTTTTGTCTCTTTCCTGCCTGCCGGCCTCGTGTTGGGTGACAACCCGCCCACCTCATGCCCTGTAGTCCGTCAGACAGGTTTAGTGGTTTTATTTTACGATTTCAGCGCAGATCGAATCGCAGGGGTGGACGGGCGGACAGGCACCGCTGCGTGGTCGCGTCGCCTGCCACGTCTGCTTTCCCCGCCTCGCCCCACACAACGCGTCATGCAAAGACAGTGGCAGAGTGGCGTGGCGCGATGGAAGTCCCGCTGCCGTGTTGCCGCCACGTGCTTCCGGCGGAAAGCCACTTTTTCCTGCCAGTTTCCCTCCACTTTGTCATTGCGGCCAAACTTGGGCGATAGATGGGCCAACTCGAACGAGGAGGGAGGCCCGCGTGTGGATCGCTGGTGCCTTTGTGTCGGCCCCAATGTAAATAAGATTTATATAGCTTATAACAAGAAAGTCAGACAGATTCGTATGTCGGCCCCAGCCCGCTGCCCGGCTCGGCCCGGCCTTGGTCGGGTCAAGAAGGATTGTGTGGCCCACATGCATACATCATAAGGCGAGGCCCCGCAATGATTGAAAGACATAAACTTTGAGTTTACGATCAAGCAGTCGGGCTCTTTCCGGGAGGTCGGAGGGACCGATCTCCGTTCCTTCTTCATTTGCTCTTTTTGATTCCTGCTTTACAGCGGCCCTTCACGGCCCGTCGTCAGGGTGCCTCTAAACTTTATCTCTTATCGGAGTCTGTCTGCGGCCCGGCGGTGGATTAGCTTGGCGCTGTTCTCGCGGTGATTCCCTTCCGCTGGACGGGCCTTGCCGCCACTTACCAAAAAAGCGCTCCCGGACTTCATTGAAACGGGATGTGTACTTGTCATAGGTTAACTGTCACTGTGGTATATTGTTGCCTCCCCGAATCGCGTTCACGTAGTGGAGGCACAGGAGACAACGCTTATGGAATACGTGCAGCCAAGAAAGAAATTCTGAAGAGGTAGCTTATTTGGATTTAACTCATCTTACCTTGTTTCTCCTTGTTGCAGAGGTCGGCGGCCTGAGCGACGTGCACGTGATCATGCCGCACGCGGTCAGCCCCGGCGACGACGTGTACATGCGCTGCCGGTACAACCTGGACAACGACCAGCTGTACACCGTCAAGTGGTACAAGGGTCGGCAGGAGTTCTTCCGCTACGTGCCCAAGGAGCTGCCCAACACCAAGGTGTTCCCGCTGCCCGGCGTCAACGTCGATGTGAGTACACAGTGCCAAGGGTCGTCGCTTTTCGTCGTCGAGTAGCGAGGTCGAGCGCAGCGGGGACGTCAGTGGTCGTGTCGAGCAGAGCAGCACCATTAGCGACTTGAGCGTAGCCGCGCGGCCGTTCGACGCGCTGCCGCGCCTCGGCCGAGGCCGCCGAGGACCGCGACGGGGCCGCGGAAGGCTCAATGGGGTGGACTATGAATATGCAGTGGCGTTGGGTTGCACTACGGCAGGTGGTCCAGGGCCTCCCACCAAGTGGCTCACATCATCTCCCCTCCACCTCCTCTCTCGCTCTTCCACAAGCGCGCGCGCACACACACAGAGTCACACGTCGCAGTCGCGCACCTGCCAGTCCCAGGCGTCTCCAACTTCCCCTGCAAATTCGTAGCATAGTGTTTCCAGTCGTAACCCTCCCCCTCTTGTCCTCTGTCGAGGTTATTCCCCCTCCCCACACCCCCTTCCTCCGGAGAAACCATCGCGTTGGCGTTTTCCGGTTTTGGAGTGTGCACACGGTACACTACACCTAAATATGTTAGTATTTTTCGCGTTGAAAAAGTATTTCGTGCGCTTCTACGTTGTAGTATACTGGCGTTCCGGGTGCTAGAAAAGAGGCTGCCGACCCAAAGACCTGGGTATTTAAGGCCGAAGAAAGAGACCATAGCAATGTCTCTAAATCGACAGTCCTTTTTTCTAGTTTGCACGGTGTACTGAAAGTCCTGGTGATTACTATTTCTCTCCTTGAAACACTCTTGCGGGAGGCGGTGTTTTTATCGCCGGTAGTGAGCAACATAAGCGCCTTACTGTTAATTTGTTAGTCTTGGCGGCAGGAATTTTGCCGGGAGACGACAGTGCGGAAAGGAAAAAAGGGCCTGTGTGTGTCAGCCTGGTGACAAAGCCGCGCAAATAAACGCCACGGGGCGCGGGGACCCCGGCGGGGTCGCGTGTCCAGAGGAATAAATAGTGAGCACGTTAAAAGGCGATAAAAGTGATGCAGGCGTTTGCCCAGCCGCCAGGCCGGCAGGTGGGCGCACATGTCCCAAAGCGGCACATCGCCCGATGGATGGACACCGCGCTGCTGCTTCCGTGGGCTGGTATTCATCGCCCGTTGATTACTCGACCGTGTTAGGCCGCTGTTTTGCATGCCGTCTGCGTCTGTGTTTCCCGTCAGCCATATGCAACACCAGAGGCCTCGGGGGCTGCATACCTAGACCTGACGTAAAGAGGAAAACGGCCGTCCGCATCGGACTCTGTTTTCCTTGTCAACAACACCGAGTACTCGCGTGGCATTTCCCTTGAGAGCATTAGCTTGTACCTCCGGGAGGGTCAGGGGTGGACGCGCACACACGTGCACTCACACTCTCCCTCATACACGCACGCACACACGAGTGCCCTGCCGCTCGGCCTCGCTGTACCCTCGCAAGGCAGGACGACGTATGGTCACCAGATCCCTTCACCCCATCCCTCCCCCGGGGGCCACGCATCCCCGCGGTGCCTGGACGGTGCCTGGGCCGGGCCGCCACCCTGGTAAGCCGGCGGCCGGCCGAGGCCCGGCCAAGCACGTGCCCTCACAGCTAACCGCAATTGATGGCTGCGGTCTGCCGGATATGAGGGAACCGGAGCGAACCCGAAGGGAACCCGAAGGCCCCACATACGTACCTGCCCCGTCCACCCCCTCCCCCACCGCCTGCGGGTTGCCGCGTTGCCGGCGGCCCCTGTGCGGTGCTGTGCGGAGCTCTCGATGTCCGGCTGACTCTTATTGTTAGCGTGCTTAGCGCTGCGGTCAAAGGGTCGGCCAAGTGCAGCTGGCACCCCACCGAGCTCGCCGAGCCGGGCCCTTGGCACTGCCTTGGCAGGCTGTGGAGGGCCGTGGTGGGCGGGCCGAAGCCGACGGGGTGGTTCACTTTTGTTAAGTCGCATGTATTGTGTACACCTTTTCCAATACGGTTTTTTGAAAAGGGAAGGAGATATACCCAATCAAATCGCTAGCGGCGTACGCGGAAATGTTGTATCGCTGCTAATGTCAGCAGCAGCTAGCCATCGTTGCCGTCTCCGTTCCGGCTGACGTGGCTCACAGCCCCCGAGGTTCGTGCGTTGCGTTGCGCGGTGGATCAGGCTGTGGGGCCGTTGAGGTTTTCACCAGTCATGACCTGCGCCGTTCCCTCAAAGACGGACACAATTTTCTGAGCGGATCGGAGGAACCGCCTACCTGAAAAAGTGATGCCGGAGTGACGCCGCCGGTCTGCCGTCGAAGGGGGTTGTTTCGAGCCGAGCCCCGTCCGCCCGCGTCGTGAAAAATAGAATCGAAGCCCCATTCGGGGCGATTGCGTTCGGCCCCTTCCTGCAGGCCCTGGGCAGGCCCTGGCCAGGCCCGGGCCGCCCTCACGAGTCCCCGCGGACGAGTACTTTGTCCGGGCCGCGTCCGGGGCGGCTTGGCGGCGTGGCGGCGTGGTGCTTGCGCGTTGGCACGCCCCTGGGCCTGCTCGCCGCAACGGCAGCGCGCCAACGGCAGCCGGCGGCAGCCAACTCCAGCCATCGGCAGCCAACGGCAGCCAATGGCACCGTCCAGACGCTGCAGTCCGCCATCGACCCCGAAGCCGGCCGGAACGCGCTCCAAATTGAATTTTATATCAGGTGGCGAGCTGCTGTGCGAGCGTCTCTGGGCGGCCCAAGCTGGCGTTAGTGCTGCTCAGGTCTCGATCGGCTGCCTGTTTTGAGAAGCGCCCCGCCGCGCCCCGCCGCGCCCCGCCCCGCCGCGCCCCGCCCCGCCACTTAGCCCCAGCAGACGACGCTGCGTTTTATTACACGGGTGGCTCTGCGGTGTTCCTTGCGGGGATGTTGGCCGCCGTATACGACTAGACGCATCTGCTGCGCCTACCCTCCCCGCAATGGCTTCGGCTGAGCTGGCTCGAGCCTTGCCCTGCCCGAGGCGGGACCTTCTTCCAGGGGCCATGGACACGGCTCAGTCATGTCGGGTCGGACGAGTCGGGTCAGACGAGTTGGGTCGGCCCGGCCCAGCAGGGACGACCAGCTGCTTCATTTATATATCTCCATCCTCCCTCTATTTCTCCGCGTGCCTCTCGACGAGAAAGAAAAATACCATATACTTTCGGGGAATGAATGGGGTCCTTCCTTCTGGACAGTCGCCCGGGGAAAGTATTTCCAGCACATTGCGGAATTTGTTATTCTCAGTCAAAATTGGAGGCGCCAAGCGCTCTCTCTGTCTGTGCATCGTCCGTGCGGGCACGGCTCGCTGCCTCGCTATGGGAATCGCACCTGGTGTCGCATTCAAGCCCCGTCTTTCAATTTAAAAAAGAGGAGAAAAAGAAGTTAATGCTGCGGGATCTTAGCCCAGGCCGCTCTCGTCAGAGATACAGCAGTGCCGTCGCTCGGCCCTCCTGTGAGCGTCTCGCTTTTCCCCTTTACACTGTTTTTTTTTAAGTTTAAAGAAGTTTTAATGTTTTTCTTAGTTGTTCGGTTTTGATGAATTTTATTTGTTGAACATAATTTTGATGCACGTTTCGTGAGGTCCGCGTGTCCACGTCCACGTGCGAGCTTTGGAGTGTCTGACCATCATTGCGACGGACCAAACAGCTCGGCTGCCGCAAGAAAAAGTTTATTTTATTCACGGAGAGTGTGGCTTTGGCCAGCCGAGGTGAGACTGGTGGGGCTCGGCCCGGGCACGCCCCGGGCACGCCTTGCCCCGCCCCGACGTGACGTCATATGGAGAGGCTGGCCTGTCCGTAAGCTGACCATAAAGTAGGGATTTGTCGGGCCGAGGCTGGCCAAGGCCTGAGGGAGGGACTCGCGGAGGCCGTGAGTGGAGGCCGGGGGAGGGAAGGGGTGCAAAGCGGCGATATTTAATTAGGGCGACAGGCAGTAAGGGCCGACTCCTTGCCCTTAAGGGTAATAGGCCATAACACTGGACGGCTCCCTCCGCCGTCATCTTTTCCGCGCGACTCTAGTGTCCCCTTCGCCGCGCAGGCCTCGGCCGCGGTGGGCCTTTACCGCCACCTGGGCGAGGCCTGGCGTGGAGGCCAGGGAATGACCGTCAGAGCGGCGCTTGTCACTTCGGGGCTGCATCACGGACTGATTGGGGCGTGGCGTGGCGGGGCGTGCCGTGCGGCCACAACAACCCCCTGCGCCTCGTTAGAGCTGCCCCAAGCCGCCCCACCCCGCCCGGCCTCCAGGACACATCAAGTGGTGGTGCTCGAGGCTCAGCCTCGCCGTCCTCGCCACCCCATCCCGCAAGATAGGCCGAAAAAAATAATAAATCGAGTCCCGAAAAGCAGGGAGGCGATTTACGGGCTGCCCGGCGGTGCCCGGCGGCCACTGCGGCCGCGAGAGCTCATTTGGACGACTCACGGCCGGTCGCGGTCATTTTCCAGTCCTCTATTGCGGTGGCTACACCGCGGTGCTGTACGCGCGGGGCTTTTCGCCGGGCTGCCATGCATTTCGAATGGCAAATGGCGCCCCAGCCCGTCCCACCCCGCCCCACTCCAGACCACCCCGCCCCACCACGTCCGCAGACCGAGCCAAAAGACCCGCGCCGTCGTCCTCTCTTATTCGGCAGAGAAGCAAAGCGATTCCCGAGCGTGTGTGTGTGTGTGTGTATATTTCCGTGTGTGGGTGGGTGACTTGGTGCGCGGTCGACATCTGAGACTGGACCCTAGCCTTATCGCCCCACTTTTTTGTGGAGGGGTAAAGATAAGGCCAATTAGGCTTGTACTAGAGATCTTTTTTTTTGTCATCGATATGTGGTTTATCTTGCGAATAGTTTCGGTGCCAATATAAGACGAAAGAATATCTCAGTTTTGAAAATCGGCGATTGGAAAGATTTACCGGATGTGCCGTCCAGTTTTGTACGTACGTTGGCTTGCGCCAATTTTCAAAATTTTCAATTTTGCTGCTTTTTTTGTTTTTGTTTTTTTGTTTGCGGGCCTTTTTTCTCTTTCTTCTCTTTACTTGATAACGACAGAGGCGGTAGCAAACCCCAT